GAACAGGCGCTTCGCGGCCATGGGCATCGGGTTGAAGTGACCGCGCTCTTCGAGGGCCTCTCGCGCGTAGTTGAACTCCTCCCACAGGTCGTCAGACTCCTCGCCGACGTAATCGATTCCATCAAGGTGCTCCGCGAGCGCGCGGATCACAGCGCAAAGCTCGCCAAAGTATTGGCGGAGGTATTCGTAAAAATCGGGGGCGGGAACCGTATTGCCGTCCTGGTCCATCACCGTCAACGCCTCGGTGTCGACTTTAACGCCGTCAAAGCCGTTCGATGTTCTCACGCGGAATTTTAGCGCTCGTGATTTTTTACTCGCTCCTGCGACGACAGACGATCGCGACGCGCGAGAGAGAGCGACTTTTTCCAAGGCCTCAGCTCGCTGAGTTTGGTATCGTTCTCGGAGCACAGAAGCGACGAGCTCACGGTGTTCATAGTTTTTTTGGCAATATAGGCGGTGGAGTTCTTCGTAAGGTGTCTCTTCGAACTTCGGCCTCAACTCCGCTTCAATCAAACGACGATGCGCGCGCCTAAGACGGACCCAAGGCTCGGTCATCGCCCGCTGGTGGTCGTCGCTCTTGCCTCGCCGCAATCGCTTTGACTGTGTGGTTGTGGCGATTCCGGCGCCTCCCCACAGTCCACACCTCCAGACCACACCTCCCTCCATTAAAACGACGCCGCCAGCTCGTCGACCCAGGCCGCCCGCCGCCCGCGGTAGGTCCACGCGTCCGTGCGCCGCGAGAGCACGTCGACGACCGCGGCGCGGTCGAGGCCCGCGAGCGGCCCGTCGGGCTGGAGGACGGGGCAATTCCAGCGCCTCCCCGCACCTCCAGACCACCACACCTCCCCTCCATTAAAACGACGCCGCCAGCTCGTCGACCCAGGCGGCCCGGCGCCCGCGGTAGGTCCACGCGTCCGTGCGCCGCGAGAGGACGTCGACGACCGCGGCGCGGTCGAGGCCCGCGAGCGGCCCGTCCGGCTGGAGGACGAGGTACTTGAGGCTCTCCGGGTCGAGCTTGAAGACGGCGACGCCCTCGCGGAGCGCCGCGAAGTGGGCGTCGGCCCTGTCGGAGCCGAGGTCGGACACGGCCCGCCGCAGCTCGTCGACGTCGCGGCCGAGCACGAACGCGCCCGCCGCGGAGACGCGGAGCGCGGCGAGGTGCGCCTCGACGACCGCGAAGACCTCGTCGGCGAGGGCCGCCCGCCAGCGATGGAGCAGCTCGTCGCCGCCGCCTAGGGCCCGCGCGACGCCGTCGGCGCGCCCGCTGAGCTCGTCGCGGAAGAGCAGCGTCGCCCGCGTCGGCCGGAGCTCGTCGGGCTCGTCCTTGATAGCAAAGTCCTTCTCGCCGCGCGCGTCGGCGAAGGCGGCGCCCAGCGCCTTCGCGAACTGCTTCGCGGCGTCGGCGAGCGTCGACTCCAGGTCCGCTTTGAAGGCCGCGTCCGCCGCGCCGGCCGTCTCCGCGCGCCAGCTCCGCGCCGCGACGTCCGCGGCGCGGACGACGTCGTAGAAC